GCAGGTAGACTGTATCATGAGATCACATGTTTTTGTTTACGGCACGCTGACACCGATGTCAGCCCTGATATCCAAACGCTCTCTTGACATATTCGTCAGAATCTTCTATGTGTAAGGCTCAACTTAAATGTTCATCTTTCAAATAAAAAGTGACAGCCGTCGTCTGTAGAGCAGCGAGCTGGAATGGATTTTGTTGGCTCCCCTGTGCACGGGGTAAATTTATTCAGGAGCGGTTCTGAACATGAGGAAGGGGGGAGTTGTAGCCGTCAAATAATTTGGTTTCTTGCGAGGTTCTGCTCCTAGTGCGACATCTAGTGGCAGTAAATGTAGTTCATATACCCTTAAACTTATATATTCCAAAATACCAGAAGCTTCGTTCACCCCTATGTTCACTCTCACGCTGCTGGATCTGCCACAGCACCTGAAGCGATGCTAAATCAATAGCATGTACAGGTTAACAGCCGTCGTGTTTTCGTAAGCCGGCACATCAAATATTAATTAGCTGGTGATTAGCGGCAACTGGCGAGAATGATTCACAGCCCGAGGACGCCATTGTCCTCGTCCTCTGCGCAGGATGAATCAGCCATCTCTCATCTCACTCTCAACGTGTGTCCATGTGTCCTTTTTGTGGACACAGCTAAAGAGGATGAAAGTTACCACTTACAACCAGACACAGACCGTGTGTGTCTGACCTGACGGAAATGTGTGCTTGATGCTGCATATCCTCTAAAAGACTTTGTTCTTTCAAAGACAACTAAAACCAGATCAAGATCCATGAATTATTTTCTGGGAAAATGGTAAAAAATCTCACAATGTTATAGAAAAAATCCTGGATTTCCACCCTAATCCGAATCTGCACCTTTAATTAAATGGGTTCTTCCCTGGGTGATAACTCATCCTCCCACATATATTCGTGAAAATCTGTCCAGTAGTTTTTGTGTAACCCTGCTAATTTATAGACGGACAAATGAAATGCACATGGTTCCTCCAAGGCCCAACAGTCTCCTTCAGTTAAAATCAAGCTGTACCAAATTACACTCACTCAACAATATAAGCCTCTAAATGCTCCTGATATTTTGTTATTATGTTACCTAAAATAATTTTCTGGGATAATGTCAAAACACCAAGTTTCATGGTTAACCGTCCAAACGTTTTTGTTAATCCAGCAACAAAGACGAAAACACAACCTGCTTGGGAGAGATAATGAAAAGAAGATTGATATTTGCTAAATGTTTGAGTCTAATTCGTGTGTGGAATCCAGTGACGCGGCCACTAACTATCACCACGATGCTGCCGTCTCATTCCCTCCTCCTCTCCTCTCACTCCCCTGAAGCTCAGATACTTTGCTGAGAACAAATTGTTTTGTTTATGTTGAGAGATTTTATTTTCACTCTCTGTTATTCGTGTGTTTCAACAAAGGATAATTGGAATGCACACCTCCATATTCAAAATCCAAAGTGGGGGAATAACAGCAAGGATATTGGATTGCAATTCAAGTGTTTATAGTGTCTGCCTCTGTGTTGTTCAGTGTTTGCGATGATTACAGAAGGTTTTGGTGCACTGCAAGTGTCCAATAACTACATTTTTATTAATCTTTTTGAGGAAAAAATGTTTTTGGATGTTCACTTATTTACAGAATTTTTATTTCATTAATCTTTGAAATGATGCAGGGGGAGGAATGCATTCAATAAAGTGTATAGATCAAGAATGAAAGCTCCAGGCTGACAAAAATTTAACAATAAGGCTGTCTTTTAAATCCCCGCCCCTCCTTCCTGAGGGTCCAAAGTCAAAAACAGCGTCTCCCCAAATATACATCATCACAAAGACTACTCAGACATGAAAGCAGATGAAAAGAGGACATGTGTCAAATTTGAATTGTGTTTCCAGCTCTCGACGCAGTGTGCAGTGTAAATGGATCAGGGACCCCTCAAAAGCAATTACAGCTACGATTCCCACAGTGAAAAACAGGTGTCAAAAGATCCAAATCTCTCCGGTCAGATTTCATATTCTGTCTGTTGTTCTGAGATGAAGCAACTCTCAAATACATAAACGGTTATGAAGGGGGAGATGTTTTTCTGTTTGGTTTCGCAAGTTGACGTTTGCGTGACTTAAACAATTTGACTTTGAGTTCAAATAGAGCTGCTGAGTTTGTATCCCAGAGATCACCATGTATGCTGTAGTGTTGCTGAGTAGAATTTCACTGTATCTACAGTCTCATTTAACCCCATGCTTGTTTTTGCTCTCTTGCAAAAGTTTGTTTTTTCTATATCATGGACTGGCTATAAAATTGGCAATAGAGGGTGGATGTAGAGCAGATATTAAGATTAATAAATGCAATCAAAGTTTGGCTTATTAATTATCATTAATTGTTATTATATTTCCCAGAGGTGATGTATGTTTCCAGGAAAGGGCCAAAGCCTCAGGAGGATCATTTGAGTGATTAGTGAACAAAAAAACACGCGTAATGTCATTTTCTGCAAAAATTTACTAAAAACCCTGAACTTTGATGTCAGTCTGTGTCCGCAATCTGGATGTGTAACACACACTTGATTTATCACAAATATCAAAGGCAAATATACTCCTGTTTACTTCCAATGTGTGCGAGCGAGGAGGGAACAAAACATTTACAGTGAAGTTTGGCGTGGACTTCAACTTTCGTGAACCTTAACCCTGAATCCCAAAGGTTCCTGGGTAAAACTATCTCTTGAAACATCCTCTGCTGGAAATATATGTGGGGGAACAAATATCTAAAAAGGTTTTTGTCTCGGTAAAAAGGAAGAAACTTTTCTGTACCAAAGCTTTTGTATTTAAATACTAATTCAATATGTTTAAAGAGTAGTTCAGATTGTGAATAAAACGTGGCAGCTCATATAATACAGGTACAGGAAAAAAAACAAAAAACAATTTAAGCTTTTTAGGTGATTTAAGAGGAGGCTTATTCAAACCCCTAAAGGAGCATTTAGTCCCACAGTTAATCTGAAAAAAATCCCCAGTATGCAGATACATGGTTGTCACAGCAACTACAGAAACTGAAAGAAACGTTTACATAATCCTGATCTTGTAGAGGAGCTCTGTGTCAAAATGCTGTTTTTTATCTTTTTAACCTGAGAGGTTAGTTTCTGTTTCTGTGGTTCATTTAAATATTTAATGAAGCTGTCTCACATGACATGAACCTGATGGCTGCTTCATGGAAATTGGTGGATCTCAAGGGGCCTATTTTTTGCCTGTGGGCCCTCTGGGGGTTTTAGCCGGCCCTGTCGTTTGGAGGTCTCTCAGCTGCTGGTGTTAAGGTCCTTCCTACTTCTCCAGACATAAATTGATGAGCGTTGTGAATATGCACCCTTAAACAAATCAAGTTAGAGGTGTATTACATACATCTGATGCATCAGTATAAATCTAATGCCCAACATGACAGGTTTGTTTTTCATTGGACAGATGAGATGGGTTTACACCTCTGATGGATGTGAGATCTGCAGCTTGGTTATAGGGGCAGCCGTAATGACCAAACAGTCAGCGTGCGCTGTTCCAGGCCACAGCTTTTGATTCCCCTTGTACGATCCCACAGCGACATTACGCTGCGACCACGCGCAGAAGTTGTATCAAGGTCGTTTCGAATCTCCCCCGTCCTCCATCAAAGTGACAAGTTCAAACCTGATGCATCCCTGCGCCGGAGAAGACGACATAAATAAGCTCGGGCGGATGAGTGAATATAAAGCTTCTGAGTGGTTAGGAGGGGTAGGGGGTGGTGGGGAAATGAAAATATTTTTTCACCCCTTAATGGAGCCGTCAACGATCACTTCTCAGCAGAGAGATGGAGTCGCAAGGCGGACGGCAGCTCTGTGGTCGAAGGCAGAGGGGAAGCATCATTACCATAGAAAACATTACAGCCAACGACAGACATCCCGGCCATCAAAGATGATCATCTCATAAATTCCATGCACTGTATAATGGGCCTGTCACTCTTGACGGCTGAAGGGAAAATAATGCCTGCGGCGGATTTTTTATTTTTTTTAATCCTCCACAGTGCTTCTGCTGATTATCGCTAAATAGGCCTCGACTTGTTTGGCTAATAGACACCATAGATGCCAAACCCCAATGTGGTGGCCAGCGTTTGATGGCCGCTATCCGAATCCATATGTCCCTTTCAATCTCACATGTCTTACCATTAAGCCGATAATTTGATGAGCAATTAAGGCGAGGCCGCTGTAAACAACCGCTCAGTCTGGCTTGATGTGTGACACGTCCAAGTGGGATAGACCGCGGCCCCGCAACCGCTGCTTAAAATGCCAGCGGTGGGTAATCAGCCGTCAGCAGAGACCTTGGATGGGTGATCGTGAAAGAGGATGATGTGCAAGACAAGCGCGCTTACACACACCGTGGATGTTTTAATGGCGTCAAAAGCTCACATATGCATGTACACATACAGGCACATGCACTGCATAACAATCAGACGTTCTTCTAGAACAGGGCCCTGGCTAAATAAAAGACTAATGCCGTAGGTTGCTGGCCCTCTACTTGTCTTAAAGGTCACGAATGATGTCTTTGTCTCAGAAAACATGGATGTCTTGGAGGGTGTTTTGAGTGAGAGGGCGGCGTTGAGACACCGTTACTTGTTAATTACATGATTAAGCCTGACGAGGGGTTTAAGACCAATTCAAAGCCCTGAAGACAAAAGACGCTACTACTTCGTGAGCCCCTCGTATTCTCCACACACACGGCAACAAATTTGATAGGCACAAGTCGTCAATTTCCATTTTAATTCTATGAGCGTGTGACACCCTGTTGTGGCACCAAATAAGCATTTAGCAGATGCATTCACTCAGCAGTGGGGTCATCTCGCTGAGTTTTAAGCAACAGATACGATGAAGTCTTTTGCAGGGAGCAGACAAATTCTGAGAATTTCAGGAATAAACATAGAGTGTGTGTTGAGGGAAAATCCCTTTGACATTTGTAACTATGGGAATTGTTGTCTCAATATTTATGTTTTACTTTTTCTGCAGCGACCTTTAATGAAGACCACTTCCCATAAACCGCAGACAGCTGCACGCCACAAAGGGTCACATCTGGCTCAAACATGTCTGCAGGAACAGCAGGAGGGGACTGAATAAGCAATGACTACACAGAGAGAAAAGGCTGAAAAATGACTTTAGAATAAGAGTGCTGGTGAGTTTTATATAGTTGTGATGTTGTAAGGACTGGCAGTGCCGCAACGGGAGATTTGTCACGGGAGTTGAAGCTTTTTGTGTATTCACAAGGTAGCCTGAATATCGTTAAAATCACAGGCTTTAAATTTTTATAGCGGCTGCTGCAGTAGATGCTGCTTCATCTCAGACACTGGAATGATCTTGGAGAATGCGTCATTTTTTCAAAAATATCAAGTAAAGAAATGCTGCCCCTCGCCCAATGTCAGCTGGGATTGGCTCCAACCCCCAAAACCCTCATAGGTAAGCAGCAGTAGAGATGGATGAGTGATTGTATTGAGTTACCAGAGTCCAGCCCACAGAATGTATACAAACAAAGGTAAGCCCCCAAAGTTAAGCCAGAGTGCCTTGATCACCCCCTGGTGACTGGCTGCAGTATAGGTCATAAACCTTTCCTCCTCCATGTTAATAGAGGGAACAAGGGCCAAACTAAAAAGACAAACTTACATGTCAAATACATTTTAGTCATAGAGGGTTTCTGTCTTTTTAGGTCGTTCTGATGACACTGAGGTATTTTTATGGCTTGATTCTTCTTCCATTCAGTTTGGTTTTAATGAATTACTTGATTTCATAAAAAACTGGTGAAACATCATGATTGACAGCTGAGACTGACTCATCGGTTGAGTACATGCATTGTCTGGACCTCAATACTGCGGCACCATCAGTGCACAGACTCTGACTCTAAGAAACGCCAAAAGCAAAAGACGGCAGCGTTGATATCTGGGATAATTTGGGTTCATATTTGCATTGTAGGAGGAAGTGGGGACATTTCTATTTAATTCGTCACTAGTGACAGAAACTTAAAAAATAATTTCCCGAAATGCAATGTAGACAATTAAACTGGATATCTTTACTTCAACCTTATCATCAGACATTATTACGGTTATTTTCTCTCCACAAGTAAAGCAGTACTCCTCATGATGAGTAAACTGACCTTTACTTGTAAAATTGCTGCGCACATTTAAACTTACTGCTTTTTCAGCTCATAATTGAAAGCAACTGATATGAAGCAGTGAGAGACTTTTATTTTTATGTCGAAGCGCTGGGTTTGTATGTACAGTAAAGAAAATGTGCAGCTTAATGAGGTGTCATCATATTCACAAACATAAAAGCTTTTGTCTTTGAAAGGTAAATATTCCACAGCTCTCTCTGTGCACACTTTTCATAAGAAAAGGGATTTCAGCGTCTGATGTTGTTCAAACGGCCTTTTTTTAAATGTTTCCAGTTTGTATTGCTCTTCTCTAATGGCGTCTTCCAACTCTAATCATGTCACCTCTTCTCGACACTTGCTAAAGGTCTTTGCTCATGCCGTAGAGCTATCTATGAATTTCAAACGTAGACATGTGGCTTGCAGGAGTGGGCGTACACAAGAGAGCTGGACCTGCCTGGACTCTCCGAGGACTGAGCTGTAATGGGCAGTGTTGAAAAGCCCATGCGGCCCGGGCCGAGCGAGAGCCTCTGCAGCATTGCGGAAACTCAACTTCCTTATTAAAAAAAACGAGTAATGAAAGAAAATCACAAGAGTTGTCAGTTACTGGATAACGAACACATGAGCGACCGCCTCCTCCTCCCCTCCCTCCCCTCCCTCCCCTCCAAGATTTCCCCTCTGCTGCTTCACTTGAGTCCTCGACAGAGACAAATAAACTTAGCTCGTGTAAATGGAGCAGAAAGCATTGAGAGGGGGAAGACTAATAGGGCGCGCGCTCGCACAGTTTGGGAATCCACTTTTATCCCTCGCTATATAGAAATAGCCCCTCTCTCTCTCTCTCTCTCTCTCTCTCTCTCTCTCTCTCTCTCTCTCTCTCTCTCTCTCTCTCTCTCTTTTCCC